CTGTGGGAAAATAGTATGTTCGGAGGAGTTTGATTTCTCACGTTTTGGCTACTCGATAGAAAGTTCGTTTGACTACTGCAATTGGAAACTACTGTTGGTCTACGTCGTGCCGTCCTTTGCTGAAAAACCATTGCGCGTGGATTGTTGAAATTTTCAAAGATTTACAAGTAAAATTGCAGAGTCTCTCTCGATCGTTTGGTGGTTGTGTTTGATAAAAGTTCTGTTCGCGAGTTCAGTGTTTAAAGAGAAATCCTCTGTATCTAAAGGTACTTGGAATCTTAAACCACGATGTTGCTATTTTCGTTTACTTTTCCCTTTTTGTTTTTTTCAGTTTGATGTAGCTAGATGTGTTGTCCTTGCCATAACCTATGAAACTGTTGACCTAGTGAGTTGTTAATTTCATTCCTGCAGGTTCTATGGATGGATGATTTCTTTCATAGATAATATACAGTGAATTGCACGCATAGAGATGAGAGAAGAGTCGTCCGGTTTGATAGTTGGGATCTCGGTTGGAGTTGTGATTGGAGTAACTTTGGCTATAGTTGCATTTTTCTGCTTTAGATATCATAGGAAGCAATTGCGTTCCCAGATAGGAAATAGCAGTTCAAGAAGGGCAGCAACCATTCCTATTCGTGCAAATGGAGTCGATTCCTGCTCGGTGTTGTCGGACTCGTCAATCGGGACTGAGTCACCAAGGTCGAGCGTACATAAGGGCTTCTCTTTCTGGCGCAAGGGATCTAAGAAGGCAAATGTGATTTCTGCATCTGGGATACTCGAGTATCCCTACAAGTATGTATTCTCTTGTAATGAGCTTATCTAGTATGGAGAGTGCACAGGGATTAAAAATTGTCATCCAGTTTATTTGTTCGAAGGATACAAAACTGGACTGCGTTAATATTATTAGGAAACTGAAAACGAAGTCATGTGGATACATAATAATATTGCCTGACAACAGAGAAAGGGTTGCAGTTATGTTTAATACTATTTTTATGTGGTGAATTTAGGAACTGGTGGTTTGAGATTTATCATAAATATTTGCAACTTCTGTAGAAGATTGATATTGCCTGAACTGGTGGTTTGATATTGCCTGAACCATTAAGTATGCCTGAAAATAAATAGTGAGTGACATCAAGAGAAATGTGATTCCCTATGGTTTATATTTGGTTTGATTTGAAGTTTGAACCATTGTGTATGCTTGAACATAAATGTTGAGTGACATCTAAGAGAAATGTGCTTCCGTTTGGTTTATATGGGTTGATTGTTTGTGACACTTGATACTATGACATGTATGATCTTTTTTTTATGTCAAATCAGCAACAAAAAGCACATGAATGTGATTTGTCTGCTGCTCACTGTTGTTCAAGTAATATTGACTGGCATACACGCAGGGACCTGCAGAAAGCAACTCACAATTTTACCACACTAATAGGTCAAGGGGCTTATGGTTCTGTATACAAAGCTCAGATGTCAACAGGTGAGACTGTTGCTGTTAAAGTGCTTGCTACAGACTCTAAGCAAGGGGAGAGGGAATTCCACACCGAGGTAGGTAATTTTGGAAGCAACATGTATCATTGAGACATCCTGTTGAAACATCTTAGCCTGTAACTGGCTCTATTATTGACATTACTTACTTTTCTATGTGATTTATGCAGGTTATGTTACTTGGAAGGTTACATCACAGACACCTTGTGAATTTGGTTGGATATTGTGCAGAGAAGCACCAGCATATTCTTATTTACGTGTACATGAGTAGAGGAAGCTTAGCTTCTCATCTATATAGTAAGTTTCCCATGCCTTTCCTAGTGATCTTCATAGAAGAAAATTTATTAGTTAATTTGCAACTAAGAAAGTAAAAATGATCTTTTTCTATTCATGTGAGTGCTGAGATTTACTTGTAATAAAACCCTGAGCTCTTGTATTATGCATCCTGCCAACCTTATCTGTTCCTGGCAGCTGAACAACTGAACATAATTGCTCCAGGAACTTCATACACAGCTTATATTCCCCTTGCGAGATTCAATTACAATCTATTTTATTGGAAAAATTTAGTCCCTAAAAGTTGTAGTACTAGTAGTACTGGTAGAATTCGACTATGCCACAACGAGTTAACTTGAACTGAGATCAATTTGTTGTGCTGCATGATGTTATATGTATACGTTTAGACTCGTAGGTATCTTGACAGATAATTATGAGCTACTTCTATAGTTCTATCTACCATCTTTGAAATTAAGTATTTTATTCGTAAGGTATGATGTACTTATTCAACTATTTTGATCTCTCTGGTATTATTTTCTTTATAACTTTACCATTATATTGAAAAGAATGCACCCACTGATGGCCTAAGTGCTTGCTATACCAAACAAAGGTTAATACAGAAAAAGATTTAACAGGTTTGGCATAAAGTTTTGCTGTCCATATGGACTATTGTTTGCTTTCACTTTTACTCTTATTGTCACACCTGGGTCACCTGAATATCTGATTTATACTACCTTATTTCATAATCTCATGGTTATCTTGTGTTCATGTTACTAATTGAGAAAATGCACATGTCGGCATTTCCATTTTTCACTTCTTTCATTGTGTGCTACACTTACATTTCTTGTCGATCTCTCAGATGAGAAACTTGAACCATTGAATTGGGAATTGAGGATCCAAATCGCGCTCGATGTCGCCAGGGGCTTGGAGTACCTTCATGATGGTGTAAGTTGAATATCCTGTCCAATGCACAAAATCACTTGGGGGCATTATTCTTCAATTTGCAGTTGATTTAATTTTCAGTATTTATTTATTTATTTATTTATTTTTTTAACTTCAGGCAGTCCCTCCTGTGGTACATCGCGACATCAAATCATCCAATATATTATTGGACGATTCCATGAGAGCTAGGGTACGTCTCCTCATTATCAACTATTGTATTAGTGAAAACAAAAGTGTGACTGAACCACAAAGTCAACTAAAGCTATAAGCTAGGGAAGTTTGGTCGATCGCTGATGACGAGTCTATTTATCCACAGGTGGCTGACTTTGGGCTTTCAAGGGAGGAGATGGTCAGCAAGCAGGTCTCCAATATTCGTGGAACTTTTGGCTACCTCGACCCTGAATACATATCAACACGTTCATTCACGAAGAAGAGTGACGTTTACAGCTATGGTGTGTTGCTGTTTGAGCTTATTGCGGGAAGGAATCCTCTCCAAGGGCTTATGGAGTATGTTGAGCTAGTAAGCCATCTATCTAACCCTCAATAATTTACCACAATATCTTCAAGAAAGAACAAAACTTGAAAGGTTTCCATTGTAATTTGCAATCCCCGGTTCTTCTGTTATTACCCAAAACCGGGTTTCTGTAATTATTCCACAAACCACATGAATAAGTAAACTCATCTTAATCTTCTATCATGGCAGGCTGCTATGAACACAGATGGTAAAGTCGGATGGGAAGAAATATGTGACCCCCGACTTGAAGGTAACTTTAACGTTGAAGAATTTAATGAGGTTGCTGCTCTTGCACACAAGTGCGTAAACCGACTACCAAGGAGAAGACCATCAATGAGGGACATTGTTCAAGTGCTCTCAAGAATTCTCTCGCACAGACATAAAAGGCGGCCTCACAAGGAAGATTCTATGACTCCTCCTAGAGCCGATGAGGTCATTATCAATATGGGACAGTTGGAAAATCGGAGTTCGTTTTCTGACCACAGACGAGTGGAATCGGTGGACAGCATGGCTGATTCTGTTGATATTTGAGTAACTTCATTCTTTCCTTTTCTTTTTTTTTTTTCCTTTACATCTTTAGCGGTTTTGTTTTCATTGGACACTTCTGTATTCTTAATCTCTAGGATTTAGAAGAAAGAGATGGTGACATGTAGTTTAAGGTCCGGTTGAATCAGCTCTGGGTTTAGGGTTGTAAATCTGCCCATTTTTCCTTCTACTTTTTTTTTTGGTTATGAGATCTTCTCGTGTCTTTTTCCGTTTTTGTTTGTTGTATATGAAATTGTGAATTTCTGATGAAGCAAAGCTATATTTGCATGTTGTGTTTCTGTTTGGAAGAGAGTGCTATAGGCAGCTTGACCCCTCCTAATTTAGGTGCCTACTGACATGACAACTATCACGGCATTGTAGGTGTCATAAAAGTGCAGTAAAATGCATACAATACGCTTGGATTGTAGAGAGAATTTCAGGACGATGGATTATCATATATATATATATATATATGAGCGGGCTCAGTCAGGCATGTTGAAGCATTTTTTTTTTTTTTCCTTCTTAAATGCGAGTGTGTGACATTACAAGTTGCCCTCCAATTCATGAACTCAGAGATTCAAATTTCTAACTTAAGAGATTTTAAGTCCAACTTAAAAGATTCTAAACCCCAACTCCTACTTAATAAGAGAGGCTTCAGTACCACAAAACTAAGCATTGGCATAACATAATGTACGATACCAAGGCCCGAGTCTTATAATTCGCAAGGTAAAAACACATGTTTATCGAACTATATTTGCTACCTACCCGAATGTACTTGTTGAATATGAAAAGAGGTGTCTTGGTTTTTAAGAGGCATCATGGGTACCTGTTTGTTGAGGCTGTGTGGTGGTCGGAAGACCTAGAAGATTGGTTGGTTGGAAAAGGAATGCACGATTCTTGCCCCTGCCTGCGCCCAGTTTTTCGCGACTCGCGAAGTAAGTCGCGTGTCGCGACTTCTCACCTGGCCATATTGCTCAGTTATTTCCGCGAGTCGCGAGATATAAGTAGCGAGTCCCGACCATTTTTCGCGAATCGGCCCAGATTCTCGCGGTTCAATTCACGAGCCGCGACTTTAGTCGCGAGTCGCGACACTATTCGCGAGTCGCGACTCATCACCTGAAGATTGCCATACTGCTCTGTTTATCCCGCGAGCCGCGAGATTTAAGTCGCGACCAATTTTCGCGATTCGGCCCAGATTCTCGCGGTTCTATTCGCGTGCCGCGCCCTTGGTCGCGAGTCGTGACCTCGGTCACGAGTCGCGAACTTGGTCACGAGTCACGACTGTAAAACGTCAGCTGGTCTTTCGCGCCAATTCTTTCAGCTCGTTTGGACCAATATGAAACTTGGAACTTTGTTCTTGTAACATTAGTGTGACAAACTGACTTGTGGTTGGCTTTCCAATGCGAATGAGGAACCGACATGTGGTTGCCCATTACACCTTTGTATGCCGTAGACCGGTAGACCNTAATATGAGTTCATTTAATAAAAATAGGTGTTCATTTAATAAAAATATGTTCATCATTTAATAAAATATGTAACTTTCAGTTACACACTTTATTTGGACAGGTCTCATTTCGGATGTTGCTCATTTTTTAACGCCTTTTTATGTCTTGAAACACAAAAAAAAAAAAATTATTTTGATACTATATATTTTTTGGTATTATATAAATAATTATTTTACAACTAATTAAGAATGACTACAAATATTTCTATTTTCTATTACAATCATGCAATAATAAAAAAAATATGGATATTACAAAGAAATCAAATCCCAGAATCACGAGTCGAAGGAGTTTAACGATGATGATTTGTTGTGATGAAGATTATGACGATAGAAAAACCACGAAATATGTATATAAAAAAGTGTTTAATAATATTTAGATCAATTTTTTTAAATTACTTTTTTTCTCATTTATTAAGTTATGATTTTTATTTTAATAATATATATTTTTAATTACTTTCTTTTCTATTATATCGGTTTTCATGCAAATGTACGGGGTAAAACTATTAAGCTAGTGCAATATAAAGGTAGAAAATGTGTAGATTTTGAATGTAGGAAGTTCATATATAATAACCTATTTTTCTAAAATGAACATCACTTGCATGATTTATGGTTTGAACCGTAGTTAAATACCACTATTTACTTTATGAACACGAGCAAATTTATTACTATGATTTAGGGTCCGTTTGGTTGGCCGGATTGGGCTTGATATCATGCCTATTGTTATTATTTCAAGCCTATAAAGATGTTTGGTTCGGACAGTCCAAGCCCGTTAAAATGAAAGGGCCCGGTGAGTTATTACCAACTTTCAGTATTGTGTATCCCACTAATGAGGTGGGATGTGTTATCTTACCCTATTTTTTATTTAAATTTACAAAGATAACCTTATTTCTTCTTCCTTTCTTTCGTGAAATTGTGTTGGGCGCACCAAGAGCAAGAACCCTAATCCCCTTTCCTTCTTCTTCTTATTCGTAAAGCAACAACACCGTCCCTTCATCTTCTTCGTTAAGCAACAGCACCTTCGAATCTGGTAGAAATTATGCTTTTCTCTTCAATTAAGCTTCTACATGCTGGTGAAAGCTTAATTTCAGATTGGCCAAATTAATCGGCCCGTCGACTCGAAGGCTGTGCAGACCTATGGCGAGGGAATCCGGCGGCGGCCGTGAGCAATCTCCTGGTGCGCGTTCTACTAGCCGCCGAGGGCCTGCGAGGTGCAGAACAACCGAGAGTCGATGGAAGGTGACGAGTTGCTCGACAGGTTGGGTTTCAGACGTTGAGCGTTTAACTTGAAGAAATCGTATGTATTGGAATCCGCCATTTTCGTTTTCCCGAGCTCTGATTTTCTTAATTTGTTCGACTAATTTGGGGATTGGGTTGTTAGGAATGGAGCCTGAAAAGGGCTGGAGTTTAGCTTGAAGAAATCGTATGTGTTAGAATCCGCCATTTTCGTTTTCCCGAGCTCTGATTTTCTCAATTTGTTCGACTAATTTGGGGATTGGGTTGTTAGGAATTGAGCCTGAAAAGGGCTGGAGAATACTCGTTTTTGCTACCAAGAGATGAATGAAGGGGATGAAATGAAAATTCAATTTCAAATTAAGGGTGGAAAAATAACTTCAAATTAAAGGATATAATTTCTAACTCTAAACCAAACAAGTTATTGGGCTAATTAAATGAATGGATAGCCTTTGAAACAATCCAAAAGATTATATCAGGCCCAATCCATTATTCTAACCAAACTGACCCTTATGGTTTAG